CTGAAAGAGATTTATAAGGGAAAATTGGAAGCATAAAAATATGTTATGAATACTAGCTAGATTTCAATGGTAATTATTTTATACTCTTACAATAAAGTTTTTTTTTTATTTGTTAAAGTGCAATAAAGCTTTAAACCCATACATCATATTCTTTTGTTTAAAGCTTGTATGTTTACAAAACTCACAGTAAAGATAACTATAATCTAAAATTTCGACAACTTTAGTACAATAGGCCTAAGATCATCTGATTTACAAGAATTTCGCGAGAAACATTGGTAGACTCAGTTTTAGCAACAAAAAAAACACAAAGATTCGTAGACTCAAACTATCAATAAATGAATCATTTTTATGTTATTTTGAAAATTAACACTTTAATTGGTTACGTACTCATTGTAAAAATTAGGTCTTCTGTAAGATTTTATGAACATTACATTAAGTACAAGGTGAAAATGTTTCAAATTTACAATGGGATTCTAAAGATAATCATTAAAGTATTGTTTGAATGCATCGTTGATAATTAAATCAGATCATCCAATAATAAATAATGAAAATGTTTTCTTTCGACATGTTCAAAATAATTAAATAAAAAAATGGCAATGAAAGGAACTTTGTAGTTGACTGTTATGAAACAACCAAAATCTAAATGATTGATTGTTGATCTTTGTTTAGTTTTTGTTTCATCGAGAGCAATTAACGAAGGAGGCAGAATCAAATTTGGCCTGAAAACTATGAATCAACTAACAGTTGGTGAAAATTTTCTAGATTTATGTTCAACTTAGTTGTTCGATTGTCTTTGGACTTTTTCCCAACAAACTCTCGTTACATTTTTCTTCTTTTTCTATATATATGTATATGAATAAAATAATTAGCCTATGCATGGTCTTGTTAAGTTAGACCAACTCGGTTGAAAATTTATCAAGTAGTTAAACCCTAATTACTATAGTTACCCTAATCTAATATCAAAAGGATATATATACACTACAAGAAAACAGGCAAATTTCCGACGGTGAAAACCGTCGGAAAMCCGTCGGAATAGGGCTTATTCCGACGYCTTTCCGACGGTTTTGACCGGTCGGTTCTATCTCGTCGGAAATAAAATTCTGTCGGAATTCCGTCGGAAATACTGACGGTATGTCAATGTCCGACGGATTTCCGACGGCTACACATACCGACGGATTTCCGACGGCACAAAT